TATCGTTAATATAATAGTTACTTTTTCCAACAAATTTTAAAATGTGCCATATGCCAGTTCAAACATGCCTAAAGACTACCTCTACTTAATAATAACAAAAGTGGAGATGCACTGTTATTCTATGATATTATATTATATTGTTCGATTGATTTGCATTGACTATCAGACGTGTTTATGATGTAATTATTTGTGAATATTTCTCTGTCAGACGACGGTGAGTCCGCTGGAGAACGCCATCGAGACGATGGGACAAACCAATGAGAAAATCCTCACCATGATCAACCAGTACCAGTGTGACGACGCTTTACCCATAAACCCTCTCTCCATGCTGCTCAACGGCATCGTGGACCCCGCCGTCATGGGCGGCTTCGCCAAATACGAGAAGGTCAGAGAGACACGGTGAGAAAACGGAGAGAAACGCTGAGAACGGATGCTGATATGTGTGTGTCTTTCTCCAGGCGTTCTTCACGGATGAATACATGCACGCACATCCTGATGACAGAGACAAACTCCTGAGACTCAAAGACCTCATCGCATGGCAGGTCAGAAACATTGCAGCATTTGTTTGTGGCTTTGATGCTAGAAAACTCGAGTGGTTAAGACAGATGATTAACCTGTGTAAACTCCCGTTTGACTCATTTAGATCCCGTTGTTGGGCAGAGGAATCAGTCTGCATGGAAAAAGTGTGACGGATGACCTTCGACCTTTCCACGAGCGCATGGAGGAGTGCTTCAAACAACTGAAGAAGAAGGTGGAGAAGGAGTACGGAGTGAGAGAGCTGGTAAGGATGAAAGCCAGACAGCAGAAACAGAAAGAAGGATTTTGTGAGATGAAGGAGGGAAAGGGATCAGCAAAGTGTGTCCTGATTTTCTTCCTCTTGTGTAGCCTGATACGGATGAGAGACGATCCACTCGGCCGCGCTCTATGCTGCGCTCAGTCCGACAGTCCATCTGCTCATTGGCTGGATCTGAATGTGGAACGCCCACTAAGACACACCCAGAGAGGTGACCACGCCCACACGCACATGTGTCTCTACGTTCAAAATAACATGCTGTGATTATTCCTGCAGTTTATAAGATGATACATCATTTTCTAGAAATATATAGAATACACAATATTTGTTTAAATACTTTTTTAAAATTAATATATAGTTTTAATACTTATATTTTAATAGTTTAATTAATATGTAATACTATATTGTTTAGTTTTTAATACTTGTTTTAATATTTATAATTTAGTAATTTTGTTGTTATTTGTTATTCATGTTTTATTTTTATTAATATTTGCTTTAACGTTTATATTTTATTAATATTTATAAATATATATAGTTTGTTTTAGAATTTTTTGTTTTATATTTCCATTTAAATAATTGTATTTATTTCTTAATATATTGTTACATTATTTTCTTTTATATTTTTATAGAAATATGTTTTATAATTGTTTTAATATTTATATTTTAATAAATGTTGTAATATTTGTAATTAATATACATTAATATAAATATAATGCAAATTAATATAATTTGTAATTATATATATATATATATATATATATATATATATAGTTTGATTTGTTATTAACTTGTTTATTAATATTGCTTTGTTAATATTTTTATATAGGAATTTTCATTTTATTAATTGTTATTAATATATTGGTTTGTTTTTATTATTATTAGTTTTTAGTTGTTTTTATTCATATTTGTTTTGATATTTATATTTCAATCATTTTATTCATATTTGTTTTATTTCTGAGATGATGCTAAAAATAAATATTCAGTGTGGCAAGGTCATGTGACATCAATGTAGCATAATACTGTTGCATATCACTACGTAATGTGTTCTGTTTTACATAATATTTTTTAAAAAGTAGTAGGCAGTATACAGTGTGTATTCTATTCCTCTCTCTCTCTCTCTCTCTCTCTCTGCCTGTAGCATATCTCTGGACAGTGGCGTTCCTCCCTTTCCGTCCATCATCCCTCGTTCCAGTGGAAGCATCAGTGTGATGGATGAGAGTGGTGTTGAAGTGGAGGTGAGGATGATGAAGATATTGCTGTGACATGTTTCAAAAACAGACCAATGATTG